TCCTACGATCCCGAGTCTACCCGGCCCCTCACAAAGTCCTAATCAGACCTACCCAAGTGCTACCTAGACCCTAACAGCCTTAGTTAAACAACCAAAAGTCCCGTCTAGACCATCACACGACCCTAATCAGACCTAAGCCAACCCTAGTCGACCAACCCCTGATTAGATGACCCTAAGTCCTAGTTAGACATCTAAAAGTCCTAATCACCAAACCTAAGCCACCGCTAATGACTTACCAACCCCTGATTAGACTTTTAGCACCCTAATCAGACTTAAACTAAGCCTAATTGACCTAATTTAATTCTGATCAGACCTTATAAACGCCTAAAACCAACCCCTATAGACCTGCCCTGATCTAAACCGACCCCTACAGACCTATACCTAGTGATTCTAGACTTAACCAACCCCTAAACCAACCCGTTTTAGTCAAATCCTAACTAATCAGACCTAACCGGTCAATGTACCGGACTCTATGACTCAAAACTGGTACTTAGGAGTCCTATCTAGTCCTAAACTAGATAATACCTAAGTCTACAATCAGATTCTAATCTGATCAGACCTAGACAATGTCTCTATAGACATTCTAAACTTCTAATCAGACCTAACCAAGCCTATTTTGACTTAATTACCTACTGATCAGACCTAGACTAAGCTAGACTAACCCAAATTTGGCTAAACCAGACCTAAACAAGACCTAAATAGCACTTACAGACCTACATCAGACCTGTACCTAGCCTATTTTAGTCTACCCAGACCTCTTACCCAGCTAACCGTCATCAAATCCAACCTATTCAGCCCTATACTGAACAGAAAAACAGGAATCTATGACTCACATCAGCTAAACCGAGATCTAACCATGTCTATCCTTAGGATATTTCACTAAACCAAGCCAAATTTGACACTAGACCAGCCTAACAAGGTAAACCGATCACTACAGACCTTAATCTACCCTAAATCAGTCCACTATGACCTAAACCAGATACCATCAGACCTAATTTGAACTAACCTAACCCTAAACCAGTTAGTTCTAGTCCTAATTGTACATTCCAGACCCTAAACCGATCTAATCTGGCCCTAAACCACGAATTCAGACCTTAACCTGATCAATACTAGTCCTATACCGATAAACCAGACCTAAATCAGACCTATTCCAGCCTATACCTAGTCTGATTTACCTAAACCGAACCCTATTGATCTAAACCCGGACAATTCTAGCCTTAACCGGACAGAACAGACCTACATCAGACCTATATCAAGTCTAAACCGGCCTACATTGACCTCTACCCGACTTAATTGCCCTAAACCAGTCTGAATTAGACAGAACCGAACAAATCAGACCCTAATTAGACCTAAACCAGCCTAACCTAGCCTGAATTGACCAGAACCAGACCTAGATTGACCTAAACCAGACTCAATTGACCAAAACCGGACTCAATTGGCCTAAACCGAACCTGGAATGACCTAAACCGGACTCAATCGACCTAAACCGGACCTGGAATGACCTAAACCGGACCTAATTGTCCTAAACCGGACCTGGACTGACTTAAACCGGACCTAATTGTCCTAAACCAGACCTAATTGTCCTAAACCGGACCTGGATTGACCTGAACCGGACTGAATTGTCCTAAACCAGACCTAATTGTCCTAAACCGGACCTGGAATGACCTAAACCGGACCT